TATGAATATGAATATGGTGCTATGAGAGGACTTTTTGGGACATACTGTTTTAGAAACCTGCCATTGCTGTGGAACACACTGAATACTGAATTGCTAGGAAAATGGAAGCTAATTACCTTTTTACTATTAAGAGGTATGAAGAATTCCATGGGACTGGTAAAGCTTGGTTTGCACAAATAGATAAACTATAGCCTTAAAGCTTTTCTCCTCTGTCTAGGCAAGTGTAGGAATTTAGTCCTTAAAAGACATCTGTTGGTACATTAGTAATCATAAATGAGAGAATTGCAAAATCCCTCTATTGAGATAGAGGGAGTAACTGCTCTATTTCTACTTCTGAAAAGAATTTTGTACAAGGTAAGTAGTTAATGCTTTTTATAAAAGTTAACATTTAATGCAAGTGATAATGTGATGATAATCTCAGTTCTGAGGGCATTTGAATGAATGGTACTTCTATGATACAGCTTTATCTTACTTGTAACTCTTTAGCATCACATGAGCAAAAAATGTGTTGACAGCTTATTATGGAATATGGATAAAGTCCAGGTTTTTATATATTGTAAGCATAAATAATTGTACAGGTCAAAGATGAACATAGCTCTGAAAATAGTTTTACTGTAGGGAAATAGAAATCATAAGGAAACCTCTTAAACTCAGTTCTGTTTCTGCATACCTGAATATACTTATATCTGGTTTAACAGTTAGTTGTCTTTTGAGGGGTTTGGGTGGTGATGTGTGTTTGAGTTTTTTGTTTTGGTTGGTTGGTTTTTTGTTTTGTTTCGGGTTTCTCTTTTTCTCCCAGTGGTCTACATGCTGTGAGGTCTACATATGGCATGGAAGAAGGGATACGATAGAAATTAACTGAGACCTGGAATGCTTTCAGAAAGCATTCAGAAGTTAAAGAGAAACCCCTAAAAGAAAGTTTTTATTTGTTGCTGTCTAGGTAAAAGAGGTGTCCTGACTTCTTTTTTAGTTCTAGTCCCATAGGCAGTCCTAAAAATTTGACTGAAGAAAATACAAGCTAGCTAACAGTTGTTCCCAATAATTGTGATACAAATAAAAAAATACTCAAATGTTCTCTCGTCTAACCTCAAATTGTACTTTATTTACAGACCCTTTTTCTACAGCTACCAAATACAAGAATATGTTACAGCGGTATCAAATGTTGGAGCCAACCTTAACAAAAGTGAATGAAGCTTAAAAGCAGTGCTCCTTAGAAGTCTTTTGCATCTTGTATACGAAAGTGTAGCTTTCCTTAATGTCAGAATAGATCAGTCTTACTGTTTTGAATACTCTTGTTCCAATAATATTGGAACAGCAGGTTAAGAACTGTTTATTTGGAAAGCCTGTGGAGATTGTGACTATTCAGTCCTTCATAAATTATAGAAATTAAAATATTTTGAGAAATGTTAATGTTCCAAATACTGTTTAAGAAAAACCAATATTCTGAGCTAACTGTATGTGAAAATGACCTTTATGTGGAAATCTGATGACTAACAAGCTAAATAAAACTCCTTGTTATTCTTAAGTTCTAGCATAAAGAGCCAAATGTAGACGTGCTTTCTTATGCTTAACTCAGAGCTGTACCCCCCCCGTCAACTATTTTCCTTTGAATGACAAATGGGGATGCAGAAAACTAAGGGAGCTATTTACGTGGTAGCAAGTAGGAGCTCAGGATAAAAAGTTAGGACCCTTGCTCTTTTAGCATCTTTTTCATTCTTAAGATTTTTTTTGAAATATGTTGTTCCTTGAGGCAATTACAGCTTCTGCTGTAAAGCTGCTTGGTAAGAAGCTCTGCTTCTTGATGAGGTAACATCTATTTTTAGAAGGTATGGAAGTGGTTCCAAAAAGCAAATTTGTTCCTAATACCTGGGTGTATCCTTTTTCCAAATTTTATTTATCTTTTTGTGTTACTTGGCCAGTTTCATGTGAGTTTGAGACTTCACCAGTAGCTCTTCCGTATTTTAGAGCAATTTGGTTTGATTTTCAAACCCTAGACACTGACAAGATGGCCAGATCTAAGCTGCATGGTAGCTGAAGAATTCTAGGGCCGTTTCCTCTACTAGGCAGTTTATGGGCATCTCCTGGTTTTGATATGGGAATGTTTCAGGTTTGACGAAAGAATCAAATGGATATTTTACCTAAAGTAAAATAAGGACAACATGAAGCTAAAAGGAACACACCCTTTGTTGGTATGTGAATGGATATGTGAATTGGAGATGGGAACTTGGCAGAAAAACCTGTACACTTCTGGGGAGTTCCTCTCTCAGCCAGTAGCAGAGGATGATTAGGCTGTTGGGGCTCTTGTATGTCACTTCTTCTCTGGCCAGTCAGATTGGTGGCAAGGGACCGAAAGCTTCAAGCAGGGTGGTTTTTGTCTTTTTCATCATGAGAGTTGCTAATTTCTTTTATAATATAGGAAAAACAGGTTGAAAATGTGCTATAAAGGGAAGCACTTATGTTCTTACAGATCACTGATCAGATGATATGTAGCACCTTGAACTACCCACGTAAACAAACTTGACCACAATATGTACTCTGCTTGAAATAATCTTGATGAGTCAGAAGTGATAGATCAATATGCCTTACAATCCATTTAAAAGTACCAGGAAGGAACACATTTTTTTTTTTCTGCAAACTGTAGCTATAATTGCTTTGCTTAATAAGTTAATGAGTTTTTATCAAAACATGAGTGCCACCCTGCTTTTTAGGTTCTTAGGTTATTGTTCATCTGTACTTTAGATGCTGTTTGATATTTAGGGCTTATGTGGATGTCATTAAACATCTGAAAATACAATCTTCTTTTTACTTATGTCACTAGTGGTGTTAGGTATTTATTGGGAAGAGATGGAAATAACTAAGGTTACTACTTATTGTGATGCTCTCGGTAAATGCATAATTCTAATAATGTTTCAACTGCACAGGATATAAAACTTATCAAGTTTTGCTGATCTCTGCTAAACGTAATATAATGTTGAGAAGTAGGGTCTTGACTTACTGGTGAATGCTAGGTGGACACATTACAAAAGGTAAGCAATTAAGTTGATTTTTTTTTTTTAATATACTGTTGCCTAAGTGTTCTGTCATGTGCTTAACTTTAGTAGACAGAGGGAATAGAAGAGTGTGTTAAGAAAAGGACTTGAGAAAGTTAACATGTTGTTCTACTGCAGTTTTAAATAAGGCTGTTTCTTTTGCAGATGCTCTAAAAGAGTATTTTTAGTTGTAGGAAACATCAGAGAGGTCATTGCTTGGCTGCTGGGTTAAACATTCCCTTTTCTTAGACATGCAGAGCTCACAGCATGGTTGCTAAGAGGAAAAAAAAAAAAACAAAATCACCACTTGTTTTCTTGGATGTTTGTTTGGGTGTGTTGTGTGTATAGTTTTCACAGGCTTGTTGATCAGGCATTTTGAAAAGGTCAACTAATGACAGTGGATTTCAGAAACACTGCAGAGGGGTAAATTTAGAAATGCTTCTTGGCTATTTTAATATTATTTGTATGAATCTCACATATTTGGGACCTGAACTTCTACCCCTTTTCTCTAGCAGCAGTAAGAGCAGCAGCTAGGAAGTCAGTGGTATTTGCATGCTGACCATGTTAAATGTCTTCTCTATTTGGAGGGATGAGGTGGGAGGGACCAAAGCACAATCACTTGACTTTCCAGGATGTTCTGGTTTTAGATTGTTCTTCCTATCAAGAGATCAGTTACTGGGCAGGTTTTTCCTAAACTAGTTGCTTTTTCTTAAGCTGAGTCCCATGATGTATGGTTAGGGAGACTGGCAGCTCTAGCTGTCATCATGATGACTTAATTGTACTTAAAGCATGGCAAACTGGCAGCCTGTGTTGGCGTGCAGAGACCTGAGGAGCCAGCAGTGCTGAACTTCTTGTAGAGGAACCACTTAAAGAAAAAAAGAGAGAATTACAATGTGCTGGTAGATGGTAATACTACTTTTGTCATAGGAGCTGAACAAAGTAAGGAAAAATACATACATCACAAGTATGGTAAGTGGTTTTACAGAACTTTAAAGATGGTGAGAGTGGCCATTATTTTGACTAGAGCAGTGTCAGTTGTGTAGAGGTGAACTGTGTTCTTTTCTCTCTGTAGAAAATGTTGCTATAAAACATATGCATTTACCGTTTTGTTTTTTTTTTAAATCTAATGAGCTTTTACTGAATTGACAAATGGAGCCTTAAGTAAATCCTGTGCAATAATAAATCTTGTTATTTGTTCCTGTATTAAAAAATTGTCTAAATAGATTTAATTTTTTTCAAAGTAGCTAAAGAACAAACACAGATTCATTTGTGGTCTATTCTACAATAGGATACCATAACTAAGAATCTAATGCAGAGGTATATTTCTCAGTTCTCTGAAGTTTCAGATGTTATTTAGTGGGTGTTACAGTAGCTATCTAAACATGGGTTTTACTTGGTTGAAATACTCATTTAGATCCAATAAAATTTAATGAAGCTATCAATTGAGTAGATTTTCTAGATGAATCTAAATTACTTTATGCCTTACAAAATCAAAATCTGTGATGGCCTTCTGGTTTTTTTGTTCTATTGCCTGAACTTACAAGATTGTCTCATCTATATGGACAAACCATATTAATATGTGTAGCAACCCTATCGTCAAAACTGGGATATTTTGCATGGAATACCACTGTGCAGTAAAATTCAATGTTGCTGCAAACGTGGATTAGCCTTAATTCTGACAGCTGATAAAACAAGTGCTGCCATGGTCATTCAAGTCTCTGGATCTTGTCCTTTAAAAAAAAAAGCCTAAACTGGTTCTAGTTCTTAACCTGTTAAGTCTCCTATCAGTTTATTTGGTAGGAATGGGCTTGAATTATTTCACAGTGACCATCTACCTTTACTTTGCCTTTTGACTGTATATGTAAGTAGACTTGGATGGAACTTAAATACTTAAAAATGCTTTTCCTAACGATAATATTTTGTTCACTGTCACGTTACTGCTTCTGAAGGTCCATATGTTTTGTTTTTCAGATGATTCAGCTCTAGAGGAGAGATTTGTCTTCATGATTTCCTTTGAAAGCACAATGGACACATTTTAAAGTTTTACAGAAATCAGAAATCATCTAGGAACAAGAACATTGGACTTTAAGGAATAACAGAGTTCAGAGAGCCCAGAAATTGGTCACTGATAAACCTGACTTTGCCATACAGCTTGGAAATGAATACCATTGAGACAGCAAAGCTTGAAGAGCATATGGAGGGTCAAACGAATGACACTTCCAATGGCTACTCACGACCTACTCTCTCAGTCAGTGAAGAGAACAAAAATGGCACTAACAAACCAAAGGGCTTGTCTAATGGCTTGCGGAAAACAGCAAAGAAATATCCTGATTACATCCAGATTTCTATGCCTGCTGAGGCTAGGAACAAATTTCCTCTGGAGTGGTGGAAAACAGGCATTGCCTTTGTCTACGCTCTCTTCAACTTGATTCTAACAACTGTCATGATCACTGTGGTCCATGAGAGAGTACCTCCAAAGGAGCTAAGCCCTCCCTTGCCTGACAAATTTTTTGATTACATTGATCGTGTGAAATGGGCTTTTTCTGTATCAGAAATAAATGGAATGATACTGCTTGGATTATGGATATGCCAGTGGTTGTTTCTTAGATACAAGTAAGTTAGCTATGTTTTTTTTTTCCCCTGCTTTATGTTTTCAGAATGTTGGTTTTCGTTGTTTGTTTTGGGTGGAAGGAATCTTAGGTTAAAATCCGTAACAATACAGAAGAGGCCTGACAGGAAAGTGACAAAGGGGTGACTTGTTTACAAAATGTTCCGGTCTCTATGCTGGATATCGATACACAGGTGTCCTGATTAATGAATAATGTTTAGTTCTGAATTTGACACCTATGTTGTACTAGCCAAACTTATTTGAGATTGGGCTTTTCAAAGTTTACTGACATGGGGATGTTTAAACAGAGGAAATTATCATCCAAATATGAGGAAGAACCCACTGTCCTCTATAGCTAGACTAGAAGCTTCTTCCTGTGTCTGCATTTCCTTAAACTATACATATGTAAGTCAAGAATATGGTTATAATATGGGACTATGAAGAGAATATCACTGAGTTGACGCAAACTGATCCTAACTGCACATGTAAGTTAGAGTGAGGCCACATTAAATAGGTGGGAGCTCTGTGCTATTAAGAGCTAGCAAGACTAAAACCTGAAGAAGGACTTCTTAGTATTTGATTTAGAGAAGTGTGTGGTGAAGAGCTGGGGATGGAGCTGCTATTTCATTCTAGGGATTTAGCTATCTAATAAAGCTAGAGCTACATAACTGTTATACGTCTTCTGCATGTAAACTTTGTATTTGATCTTTTTCTCCCCTTCCTTTACTTTCAGATCAATAGTGGGACGCAGGTTCTTTTTTATAATAGGAACTTTGTATCTGTACCGCTGTATTACTATGTATGTTACCACCTTACCTGTGCCTGGGATGCATTTTCAGTGTGCACCAAAGGTAAGAGCCTTTGCTCCCTAATTCTTGCCTGAGTCTCTACCTGAGTCCTTATGGCTCCTTAGAGCAAATGGAAAGTAATGTTTCAGGTGTTATTAAATACCACAAATTACTTTCAGCTGATGTCTTCAGAAACATAGGTAATGGTAAATCAAAAGTTGATACAAAGAGCTTCAAGTTGTTACAGTTAAGATGGTTTAATGAGAGTACCTATGTTGAAATAGCACTGCTAGTCTGAGGCTCAAGCTAATCACTCTTAATACAGCAATATCCTTTTCTTATGTAGTAGGATACCCAAGGTCAATATTGTAGTTTATAGGCTTATATGCAAGCTTCTGTTGCTGAATCCCTTTAAAAACCAGTTATATGTTTTGTTCTTGTTTCTCGCACTGTTTGGTCAAGAGCTATTGCAGTACCTGAAATCAACTGCTTGTCTCTGCTTCCAACCTGCAAAATGTGACTAAAACAAGTTCAGCTACTTAAATAAGCTGACACATTAGAAACATGGATGTGCTAATACTTTTACAAAAACATTTTAAAAACTTTATGGCACTGTAGTTAAGTGGTGACGCAAATGAGTTGTTATTGCCATTTTAGGCTACTAATAAAAAGATATAGACTTAATGATTGCCTTGGAACAAACTGTGTTATGTTGGCTGTCATGAAAGAAAAGTTTACTGGGGGGATGAATTTGTCACCTCTTGAGTAGGATCTCATCAATCTTGTGGTACAGCATCATATCTGTTCTCTTTCACATTGAAACAACTTTAGGCACATGAATCAGTATCTGTTTGAAAACTTTTACATATCACTATTGTAAAGACATAATTGTTTTGTTCTAATAGCTTGGGGAATGACTTTGTGTAGTAGACTGTGTATCGAGGAGTGAGAAGAGGTAAGCAAAAGAAGACTGAAATGTTTCTGCTGAAAGTGCATTTTGTTAGCATTAAACCAGGATGAATTACTTGAACTCTGGAAAAAACTTGATGGCTCTTCTGGATTTTTTTCTTTTTTTTGGTCTCGTGTGATACTTTTATGATTATGGAAAACTCAGTTATCCTTTTTTTCTAGAGTTAATTTTTAAATAGCTAGGTGAAACTAAGTTTGCCTAGTATCTGTGAAAAATCAAAAGCTGATCCTAATCATGTTTAAAAAACATATATCCTCTAAATATTAGTAAGTCCTCACTGAGTTTGTAACCAAATTTAAAATTTACCAAGTTTGAGTTTTTTGCTCTGTAGAAACGTTGTTCAGCTTTGAACAGAATGATGGAAGTAGCATGCAAGGTTATAGTGGTTTTGAATTGGTTTTATCCATTCTGTGGACTGCTGCCATGGCGTCTGACTTTACAAATTCTTAGTGTTTACCTTTTCAATATATTCTACATCTCATTCTCATACAAGGCATATTTAAAAATAGCTTGAGAAAGCATAGACAGAATGCTAATGTTATCAAACTAAGCTTTATCATCTGTCAACTATGATATGCATGCTTATTTGTTTAAGAATATGTGAGAGAAAGATAAAGAAAATGAAGATAATTATATCCTGTTCTCCCTGTCTCCCTGACTGTCCACATGTGTTTGGACAAGAAGTTTAGTCGGGTCATGGTGTATCTTAACCTTTACTTCATGCTTTTGTTTCTGGTGTTCTAGTTGAATGGAGATTCTCAGGCAAAGCTTCAGAGAATCCTGCGACTGATTTCTGGTGGTGGTCTATCCATAACTGGATCACACATCCTGTGTGGAGACTTCCTGTTTAGTGGACACACTGTAGTATTAACGCTGGTCTACCTGTTCATCAAAGAGTGTAAGTGTGTTTAAATGCTTTTGTTCTTCTAGGAAAACACATGATAACATGGATGTAAAACTACTGCCCTCCAGAAGTTACTTGTCAGTTGTACATAGACTGTATGTGTATGGGTTTGAAATACAAATTATGATTCTGACTGGAAATGGAACATGGATGTAGTAAAATCATAGGTTAAGGTTGGAAGGGACTACTGGAGATCCTCTAGCCCAACCTCCTTGCTTAAGCAGGGTCATCTAGAGTACTTTGCAGAGGATTGCATCCAGACAGTTCTTGAGTATCTTGAATATGGAGAGAGACTCCACAACCTCTCTGGGCAGCCTGTTCCAGTGCGCAGTCACCTGTGTAGTGGTGAAGTACAGAAGTTCTTTCCTGCATTCAGGGGGAACTTCCTGTGCATCAGTTCCTGCCTGTTGCCTCTTGTCCTTATGCTTGGCACCACCGAGAACAGCCTGGCTCCATCCTCTTGACGCCCTCCCTTCAGATACTTACAGACATTTATCAGGCCCCCTCTCAAACTTCTCTTCTTCAGTCTAAACAGACCCATCTCCCCCAGTTTTTCCTCCTGAGAGAGGTGCTCCAGTATCCCAGTCATCCTCCTAGCCCTCCACTGGACTTGCTCCACATCTGTCTTGTACTGGGGAGCCCAGAACTCCAAATGCAGCCTCACTAGAGCGAGTCAAGGGGCAGGATCGCCTCCCTTGACCTGTTGGCAATGCTTTTCCTAATGCACCTCAGGATACCCCCTGCCCTTCTTGGCCACAAGGGAACACTGCTGGCTCATGGACAACTTGTCCACCTGGACTCCCAGGTACTTCTCTGCAGAGCTTTCCAGCAGGTTGGCCCCCAACCTATTCTGGTGCACCACATTCTTCCTTCCCAGGTGCAGGACCCTGCACTGGTCTTTGCTGACTTTCAAAAGGTTCTGCTCTGCCCATTCCCTAGTGTGTGAGATCCTGCTATGAAAGGCTGTGCAGCACTCTAGGGTATTGGCCACTCCTCCCAGTTTTGTTAGATCTATGTTAGACTTTAAGGAATTCTGTGGCTTGAACACAGCACTGTTGTACACTTATGCTACCTCTGGATGCAAAGTTACTTTTCTCACCTCTGCTGTACAGTAGTTACTGCAAACAGTGAAAAGTTGGTTTGTGCTCTTTGGATGTCTTCTGCTAGACTCTCCTGCGTAATGCTTCTTGTAATTAATAAGTATTTGGCAAGCTCACAGAAGATAGTTATGGTTTCTCTATTGGTGCAGCCAATTGAAGTGTTGGAGAACTGAGCACCAACTTCCAAATCTGATATGTGGTAGGCAATGCTTCTGTCCTGAGAACTTGGCTGCTCCTGAATATGTAGTGGGGAGTTCCCTTTTCAGTTCACATATTTGGAATTCGATTCTTCTCTCCTGCTGTTGTATTCCAAACTATGCAAATGCTATCTTGGCTCATGGAAATGTAGTTCTCACCAAAACAAAAATAAGACTAGCCAGCATTAGTTGGATGCCTTCCTTTTATTAAAATGTTGAGGGAATGAGGTGTTGTAGTGCTACATTCTGCCTTAACCAAAAACCTCAATGTAAAAAGGCCTGTTTAATATGATAAACTCTGAACCTACAGATGTGAGACGTTCTTCTTTGAACAGTGATTTAAGATACTGATTACAGTCTGATTTTTAGGCCTAGGTCTTTCTTGTAAAGTGAATGTTACTGGGGGAATGACATATGTCAAAATTACCAGATCAGTATTAGGAAAATAACCTAATAATAGATCTACTGTTTGCGTTGTTTTGTGTATGTTATATTGCTTCTTAATGCTGTTTGCATACTTATTTTTAGTACCAGGGAAGATGCAGACAACCCAGTGGTTCCTGGACTAGTTTTATTCCTGTACTTATATCATAAAGGGTTGGAGAAATTGTATCATGAAAGTTCTTGTAATAAGCCCTTTGACTGCTGCCTAGTTGTTACGCATATATTTCAGGGGAGTTATGCTCTATAAATGAGAAATGCATAATTTCCTTTTTCTGCCTGCAATTAGCAAAATGCTATCTGAACAAGGGCATAAGCCCTATAATTGTTCTGAATTAGAGGCTGCTTATGGTATTCTTCTCTGCTCTTTTGATAACATGTCTTCAATGTAAGATGCATTCTGAGGATTTTATTATTTCTCACTTAGTGGAGTTTTTGCTCTGTTCTTCCTTTCATACGCTGCCACTTTTTCCACTTATTCCTCTGCAGTCCACCTTTTATACCAGAATAGCTATATTTTTAGCTTTGATGTGTCTGTCTTGCTTTGTGGTACTTCCATCAACTTCTTGAGATTACTTGGCTTCTTATCTTTCTTTTTTTTAATTATTATTATTATCATCTTGCACAGGCCTCTCGAACTACTACTGGGTAAGCTTGTTGAGATCAGTAACTTTTCTGCTGGTATTGTGTGAAAGTCAAGGCTGACCATTGCCCCACAAGGCAAGGGGTGCCAAAACCTCCCACTGTGAGTGAAATGAAGCCAGTTAGTCTGTCAGAAGTTATGAATGGTCATTGGGACACCCGAGGCATTTTTCAATGGGGAAAGAAGAGCAGGGGAACTTTTCCACTGGAGTGGCTTAAATGTGTTTTGAAGAACAACTTCACTCCCATTTGTTAAATCTTTCATTAAAGGGTATAAATTCACATACTGTCCTTCCCTGTACAGAGTATTCTGTTTTACAGAATTGAGGCTTCATGCAAAGTATTTAAAACCTAAGAATTAAAATAAGAGTGTCTTTTCCTATTTAATCTATGATCTCTGCTCAGGTTGTATCAATTCTAGGCACTTGAGTTTACTTGAGCACAGACTGTAAGAAAAGCAAAAATTCAAGTAAAATAACAAAGTGTATTTTTTGCCTCAATTCTGTCTATTCCTCTGCACTCCATATCCTAGAAGTGACTTATCCTTAGAAGTGACTTAATTTGACTAGAAGATGGGTGGTATATAACTGCAGGCTGTATAACTGCAGGCTCATCTTGGGATCCTTTTATGAAGTAAGAACACACCTCAGTAAGCTTGTATAATCCTTTAGTCTTGTTTTCTCTGTCAAAGCAGGGGTTTTGTACCAGTGTGATAGGAGTTATGTTTTCACATTTAGTAACCTTAAATCATTTTTATCTTTTCCCCTTCTTTTTGTGGATTGCTATAATAATGAGTGTCTTTTTTGGTGTGTTTTCTCCTGTCACCTCCCTGTTTCAGATTCACCACGTCATTTCTGGTGGTATCACTTAATCTGCTGGCTAATGAGTGCTGCTGGTATCATTTGTATCCTTGTTGCTCATGAACACTATACTGTAGACGTCATCATTGCTTATTATATCACCACACGGCTCTTTTGGTGGTACCACTCCATGGCTAATGAAAAGGTGAGTGGCAAATATCTTTTAGAATCAATGTATAGCCTGCATTTGTTTGCCCAGAGGTCTAAGTTAGTTTTTAATTGCTAAATAAAAATAGAGGCTTCATATTGAAGTTTAAACAGAATGGGCAAGGAATTTCACTTTACTGTTTAACTAAATATTAATAATTTGTCTTGAAAACGTTTTTCTGAACTTTGAGGTTTTATTGCTGTAGTTAGTGTTCAGAATAGCCTTTGTTTGTCTCAGCTTATGAATAATCAGTAGTTTAGTAATAAAACTTGTGGCCAACTGACATTACTTAGACTATCCTAACATTCTAGTGACAGTTCTGTACATGTCGATAAAAGTATATTCTTCAGAAGGTATCTGCTGCAGTTGTTTAAACAATACTTTCAAGTAGAAGCATAGCTCCCAAGCCAATTTAATTCAATTTTCAGCTATTAGTTATGAATGAAAACATGACATGCCTGGAAGCACTCATATTCAAAAAGACTTGGATGCTTTGTATCCCCAAATTTTGTACAGCGACAAAACATCCCTTTGTGTTAAAGATGCTCACTTTGTCATATGCATTTGGACTATGATCTATGCGTTATCTCAATTCTGTGTTTTCTAGGCTAAATGCTCATTGTCTTTGCAGAAATGTGTTTCTGTAGTTGTCTTGACTCAATATAATTGATTATAATGCTTTAAACTGACTGTCTGTTTCCTTTTCCTCTTTATCTACTTGTGCCAATACAGACTTTAAAGGTTTCTTCACAGACGAATTTTCTCTCTCGAGCATGGTGGTATCCAATATTTTATTTCTTTGAGAAGAATGTGCAAGGCTCTGTTCCTTGCAGCTTTTCCTGGCCAATATCTTGGCCCCCCAGCTGCTTCAAATCTTCATGCAAAAAGTATTCACGGGTTCAGAAGACAGGAGAGGACAATGAAAAATCTACCTGAAGAAACAAAGGAAAGCATCTGCTCTGTTGTTTTTTTTTTGTTTGTTTTCTTTTGTTTTGTTTTTTACCAAAACATTAATGCTGTAACCAAAGTTCTTAAGAGGACTCTACTGTAACTGAAGAAGTGGACCAAGCTTCTGTGCAATTGATTGAAGAAACAATTATAGACACATTTTGCCATTTCAGATGTTTTCCTATCATCAGGCTGTACAGACCTATTCTACTCCTCAGTGCTAATGAAATGCGCCACTGATGGGATTTCTTATTAAAAAAAATGGAGCAGGACTTTGCTTTACTAACGAGATAGAGGTGCCAAAGACTACAGTAACACTTTCATTACTAACTATCACTCATCCACAGAAGCACCCAAAAGTCTCATCTTCAGAGTTCTGGAGTGCATAAGGGCAAAAACATGCTCAATTGTAAAGGCACGATATTGGCGTATCAAGGTATATAAAAAAAATAACACAATAGTGGGAAGTGGTTTGTTGCATTATTCTTGCTAATGAAGGTAAGGCCTTTGCATGACTGGTACAGCTGGAAGTGAGTCTGACTTTTTTTACACACTGGGGGTATGAATATCTTATGACCCTACAATATTGCTTACCACTATTAACTCCCGTGTATTCTACTATATACAAATTTTTACATTTTTATTAGTAATTTTATATTTAAACTGTTGTGCTACCTGATGACTTTGCTAATTAGAAATAGCTGCTAACATCAGAGCTCAAGGAGCCTAAAATTTTATTTTTAATAAGGGACACAGTTTCAAAAATCTTTAATTACAGTTGGCCTTGTTTAAATAGCTATACAGTGCCTGTCAGTGTATGTACATGCATATGCACACAAAAGCACACACTAAATGAAGTTATTTACTGGGAAGAGTGATCATAGAGTTCTTCATGCAGGTGAAAGTCCCACAGCTCTCACCTGCTTGAGGAATGCAAGGCCAGATCCAAAATGAGGCTACATTTAAAATTTAATTTTTAATTTTAGTAGCTATCTCTTGCTGAAGCTGTGTAGCAAGTTTGCTTGGGAGCCATAGTTCTGCATTGAATTTTTGGGTTTTTTTACCTGTTGGCACATGTTTCTGTGACTTTACTTTAAAAGGAAAATGCACCAAACAAAAAATTGCCAAGGTAAATACCTACAACAGCAGCATTTCTTCAATTATAACCAAAAACCCTTTCATATTAAATTACACTGTTGTAGAACTCACATGTAGGTTCCTTTTTTTCCCAGGGTTTCAGTCCAATTAAAATGTCTAGTTAAACAAGTTGTCTGAGAAAGTGGGAAATTAGCATGGGGTAAACATGTAACAAAACCACAAATTAACTGCTACCGGGTTCTTGTTGGTTTATGTTTTGTATTGTTGGGAAAGCAAAGTAGAAAATTAGCATACCATGATTAACCATTTTTATTCTGGATTAATTTCTGCAGTTAATTCAATATTGTTTTCCAATCTTCAGTGAAACCTGATGCAAAAATAAAACTGCACCAAGTGTTGAGGTGATACTAATATAAAGGAAATGCTGCTTAATATTAAGAATGTCTTGAATTGACTGACAAGTGTGAACACAATTTAAATTATGACAACTTCCTTTTAAAAAGTTCAGTTAAAGTTATAAAATGAAATAGTATTAAAATATTATTTTTTTTCAGCTAAGGGGATCATTGCTCTTGTTGTACATGAGTATTTTTGTGCATTATCAAAATAATACAATAAACAATGTTCCTTACATCCTTGGTAAAAGTTAGCTAAGAAAGAAGTTCTGCTCATGTTTGGTTTTGTTATTTAAAATGAACTTAGTAGACTCTGATAACATGCCCCTGAAGTTGTGTGTGTATGGGTATAACTGTGCTTCCATTTGCTTGCTCCTAGCAGATTTTGAACAGCTAAAAAGCCAGTATCAAACACTTAGGAGTCCTTTTTCTCTGTCATAAATGAGTCTGTTCAATGTCAGTCAGTAAATTTCCCAAGATACTTGTTATATCAGTACTACTTCATAGAGCATAATTTTTTAAAGATTAAATCTAAGCTTTGTGATATCCTAAATATGGTCATGTTAAGCCACTTGTAGTAATACTGTCTTTTAGGATTTATGAACAGATTTAATTATTGGTAACCATGCGTTGAAAATTAACATGATGAGAAGCCTTACAGGAGGAGCCTAAACAGTGGTTTTCAGCTGGTGGCTGAAAAATAAAAACTTAGGTAGTCTAGATAGCTAATTGCATAACCACCACTGTGTCTCAGTGGGATTTCTGTAATCTGTCTGCAAAGTAGATTTCATGCAAGATGAGGTGTTTGGGGTTTTTTTATGCTTATTCTTATTTCTGGAAGGAAAAAAATGTGAGTGCAATAGAACCAAGTAAAGACTCTGCTTTTGTGGGGCTGTGTGAGCTTTCCTTATACTGCTGAATTTGATAGAAGCTTCTATTGTAATACAAAAGGAAAGTTTAAGTGGCAGCTCTAGCTTAAAATACTTGATTCCTGTTCTGGCTCAGCCTTTCCATAAGTGCTTAATATTTCTTCATTGTATCCAAGCCCTCAGAAGGGTGTGTGTGGGGGGGTGGTGGTGGTGGTGTTTAATTAGCAGAAAGCACCAGTTCTCTACTCTCTCAATAGCTTTTAATTGCTTTTGCAAACCTGGATGGTATAGTTGTATTTGAAGATTGTTTAGGCCTATATATAAGGTGATGAAATGGGGTAAGTAGTCATACATGCTGATTCTTACTGCTGTAGTAGTTTATCCAATACAAACCACAACTGCTACATGAAAATTACTAATTTTAAGATCTTGGTGATTGTTGTATATTAATACCACGAAGGTGAAAATATAGTTTCATCCTAAGAGGAAAAAGGATTGCAGTAGGTAAAAAGGAGAAACTTGAACTTAGGCCTACAATTGAATTATTAGTACATTATTTGGACTGTATATGCCCAGTGTTTTGCAGTATATCACTACTTATTTTTTCCTCGTTACAGTATTTCTTACAGGTGTCACATGAGCTGCACCTGTGCTGTGACTACAACACGCTCCTTCTCTGCTGAAGAGCATTTACATGTTGAACTTTTCAGACACTTCAAAAAAACCCAAACTCAACAACTAAACTCTACACTTGTACACCTGGCATATCAGTATGACTTAGTTGCTGATGGTGCCTCGGTGTTTATGAAACAAGCTTTGTTAAATGCCTCATCTAAATTTAAACCTGAATGTAACAGGTTAACTTTCAGGATTTAAAGAAATGTGCTCCTAAGTGGTCATGCTATAGATGTTTAATTTTAATGCCAGAAATGATTAACATATACTTGAAGCCGCTGTAAATGGACACTTTTTTTCTGGTACGTGCTTAGCACTCCCATGTGGTCATAAGTGGTACTATGTATTAGTCATCCTTCATTGCAGTTTTCTTGGAAAGATTGTTACAGGTGGGGGTAGTAGCAAAAATAGCTGTGCTAAACGTTGCTGTGAACTCAGGTACTGCATTTGCTTCCCTCCTTAAAGGGTGAGAGAGAAGGAAACTAAAAAAAAATCAAGACTGTATATGCTAAGATGCATTACCCTCATGTAATAGAGAAATAAAGTTCAGTAACAGAGACAGAACTTGGAAGTCTTCTAAGATATGAGAGAGCAATCTCTTAATTGGATTATTGCAAATCCACTTACCAGTGTCTTAGATCGGAATCTGTTCAAGGTATGGCTTTCTCCCATCATTAGTATCTGGCTAGACAGTTTATGGTAAGTTGTTTGGTACTGACCTGAATTCTCTAGCTCATTTCAGTAGGTGTGAAGTATGATTTACAGTTCTAGAGACAGATCCATAAACTGCAGTGCAAAGTGAAACCTTTCCATTTACTTTAAATGAACTTTTCCATAGCTCTTTGTTTTGTTTGGTTTTTTTTTAACTTATAAACCTTGAATCTTATAGATTCATGAGGTAATTTTGAGAACATGTCCAGTCTATCAGATGCACTGAAACCATTTTTCTTTACTAGTAGACTTAAGTACTAGTTAACTAGCTCCATTGTCATCTTGATATTTTTACAATACCCATGTTTTGGACTTAGCCAGAACTCTTCTATGAACACACAAAATTAGAGTGATACTGTAAGGTTGAACACTTCTGAAGTGTTCTATACAAGGCACTGTAAAATCAACATCTTAAATTCAGTTACTGAGGAAAGGGATCTTAAAAATAAATACTTCTGTTGGGCTCCACTCAAATGAGTGTTGCTGCTCAAGTGCACGTGAGAAAAATATCCTAGCATGTCACTGAAGTAACTTTGCTTATAAGTAAGCCTTTGTATGCTACTTTATTATGCTTCCCAGTGTCCAAAAAGAAGTGCTGTGAAACAGGACAAAGGCTTTTGTTCTAGTATTTACAAGAAAAAGGAAGACAGATGAAAACACAGAAGTAGATGGTGATCATATGTTGCTTTTTACCTGAAATTGAGCTAAAACTACACCTAACTTCTAAGTAATGTAGAAATAAATTGTTTTTTGTGTAATAGTGCTAAAAAAAAAGCCTTTAAGAAAACAGGCAACATTAAGCACTTCATTCTACAGTACAACTGTGTATCTGTGCTGGTTCTCATCCATAACTTAGAGTGTAAAAATAAAACCCAACTCTGAGAGATGCTTGGAGATTTTAAAATACTTAAATTTTTTGTGAGTTGTTCCTTCAAGCTCTCACTAATAGCTTCTAAAACAAGAACAAAGTGCTGCAATGCTTAAAACATACTGAAGCTTTTTCTAGTTGGCTTAAGTTTCCATGGATTTAACTGTATGATTAAGTCTTATTAACCTAGAAAGTAGCACACGAGAATGTCAGGCTAGATACAGATAGCTTATGTATTGTAGGGAAACATTCTAGTTCTGAACTCATCTTTCCTAACAAAACACTCAATGCCTGAATGATGTTTTAAGATGGAGTTACAATACTGGGCAGTCTCTAATGTGTATCTAAAATACTGGTGTTGAAGATTCCTTCTCTCCTAATGTAAATTGATGATGAAAAACTCAGGAAGGTTTGAATTGTTTTCAATGAAAATGTTTAATTACAAAGGATTTTGAGTTTAGCAAATAGTTAGCAGTTTGTTTTTTGTGGCTCTTTGCTGTGAACTAACCTTTAAGATGCAAACTAGGTAGGAGAAAAGAGCAAAGCAGCTCTTGCTGGAAGGAGCAGTGTGTGACTTTTGAACTAAAATTATATTGACTGCATGCAGTCTTATCTGTACTATAGTTGAAAAAAGATGCTGTATTATAGTATTATATTTAGTGTTCACACTTTTTCAAATTATTCTGTAGCGGTTGGCCCAGTCCTCCTAGATGAGGAGTGAGTATTTTTGTCCTTTGTTTGCTGTATGGTTAAACATAAGTGGTTTTAGTTCTGGTGAATGTCAATTGAAAAAAAATGTAGATCCATTGTATACAGTGCCTAAGATGCCTAAGAGTCTATGCATGGGTTTCTTCTAGGAGAAATACTCTTCTTTCAAGCTGTGCCTATATAATAATGTCAGCTCTTGCATTTGCCCTGAGCATAGCAAGGTTTTTAGGATGTTAGCATTTGTGACACTGCAAAGAATTACTACAGAAGAATCTCATTTGTGCCAATTGAGATGACTTTTCACAAAGTAACTTCACTGAAATATATTTGACTTTTGGTTTTGGGGTTTTTTTTGGGGGCGGTATTTGGTTTGGGTTTTTGGGTTTCTTTTTTTTTTTTTTAATTAAAAGAAGAAGCAGTCAAAAACTAGTCTGAAGTAAAAGCATCTTGAGCAGTTGGGCACCCAGGCACCATGCAGGCACATGTGTGCAGAGAGGGGCCCCTGTAGCATTTGCAGTGTTGGATTCAGTACACAGAGGCTTCTCTGGGGAGGTAAACTAGGTCGTACTTACATAGTAGGCTGTGAGCCATCTTTGCTTGTCATTTTGAGCTCCTTTAAGACTGAGAGCGCAGTACTAAAGGTGGCAAAGGTGTAGTGAAAGTCACTTGCAAATCAGAAAAGTATAAAAGGGCTGAAAAGGCAGATCTCTGTAAAACCAGTCATTGGAGAACTGTGTTCTAATTCAAGGGAGCATAAAATTTGGGGTTACTTCAAGCATGTGGGTTCCATTTAAAATGAGTGGGTCTGTTTTGCTTTTTAAATTACTGGGGTTTTTTCATTAGAGACCATAGTGCTGAGAATATCAAGAGGAAGTTTATCTCCCTGCTTACTTTTACCTTTACCATTTAAGTGTTTGTGTATGAACATTATTACTAAACTCCAGCCCCTCTTACATTTTGACTAACTTGTTATCAGTGCTTTATTTCTTTAAAAACCGAGTTTGCATTCCACTTTTTTCATAATTTGTTGCCACTCAAAATGCTGCTTATACTTAAGCCTGTGCTGATTTGGGCTCCTGTCTCACTATGTCTGCCTCTTCCAAATGGCTCAATACAGAAGAGTAGGATTTACATTTGAGAAGACTCCATGATTAACCCTAAAGCCAAAAGGCATTCTTGTCAGACACATCTTTGCACAATTTGAGACTTGAAAGTATTTTTAAGTACAAAACCTAACATGCTAGGACATACTTTGGTTTTTTTCTCTCAGGAACCAGTTCTTGCTCTTTAAATGTTCAGTATGTTCGTTTGTGTTTGTTTTCCTGCTTCAGGAGAGCATGTGTGAGATGTGAAAAAGATGAGTTCTGGCAGCTTTGTGAAGTCAGGGTCATACCAAGGAACCTGAAAGTAAAAGCAGAAATAATGGTCTGACGGCTGATGTTCTCGTGCTTTCCATGTGACTTTGAGAACTGTAAAGACTTCTGTAAAAACACTGCAGGACCTTGCTTTTAACTGCAACATGTTTTCATACTGATTGACCGACAGCTTTTCTTGCATGATTTCTCCTAGGTTGAACTCGTAGTTCTGTACATAGGTTGGAGCTATATATCCAACCTTGGAAAATATTAGACAAGAAAAGCTGTTGGCTGCTGAGGAACCCTACCTGGTAATATAGGAATGCTGTAATGCCTGCACGATAAGGAGCTAATAAATGGCAGGTTTTTATGGCTTTAGGGTCCAGTTCTGCAAACACTGCACAACATTATGCTGCAATATAAAAATGATAATACTTAAAGAATTTTGTGCTGTAGTTTCCACTAATGTTTGCAAACTGGGCCTCATTTTTACATAAATTGTTCACAATTAGCAAGAGTTGACTTTCATCTTGCAAAACTTTCAGGATGACACTTTATAGCTGATGTCAGCTATTTTAGTTAGGTAACTGTGAGTGTTGTGGTTTGCTGTATATGAGCAAGAGAGACTTAGAGCTAGAGTTGTGATTTGTAAGATGTTGCAATCTGTTCACTGTATTAAAAAAAAAAAAAAACACCCCAAAACCCCTATTGCACTAGCTGTACTTTAAAAAAGCAATAACATGAGCATCTTTTAGCTTTTGTCTCCAAAGGTGGTATCTGTCATGATCATTTGCATTGTTGGCCATGAATTTGGTAAAAATGTGTTAAAGAAGTTGTCTTATGTGGTTTAGTTGGCACATACAAGTAGAAATTTTTTGTGGTCAACCTGTGTACTAACAAATGCAATACTTTGTTGGACTACTTACATGACCACCCATATCTTTAAAAATCAGAAACTTATATCCATTTCTGGTGCTAATGATCTCAAATATTATTAAGAGCTGGTATTCTCTTCTCACCCATGAACACTAGGGAAAGCTGTTTTGACATGTTTTCAATAAAGCAAAATTTCTCTACATTTTGAGCCTCTTCCAAATGCTTTTAATATAAATGACCCTTTTCTATTTCTATTTTATATAAAAGCTGCAAACAAGGTAAGTATTTTAATGCAGGAAAACATTAGAAGTATATATGTTGGTCTAAACTACATGTCCAGGTCTAAGTTTTCATACATTCTTAAGATGCCTAATCTTCTGAAACTCAGTCTGAAATACAAGAGTTGTGTTGGCAGGATTAAGGCACAAGCTAGTAGTTTAAAGAAGATCATTCTCTGGCTTCATCATTTTTGAAGCCTCAGAGACAGAGAGGATGTGAAATGCACAAAGCTGTAGCAGGAGAACACCAATTATGCAGGGTAGATCCACCTTTTGCTGAAACTTCGAAAAAACAAACTTGTGAAGGAACATGACCATGTAACCATATCTAAAGAACAGAATTGAAATTTGACGTAATTATCAAGGCTGTTCATTGTAGGACACTATAAAAACCCATGAAAAGACCTCAAACTAGATTATTTAGATTGTGGAACAGCAATGTAACTTTCTAGCTTTGTTTAAAAGCTTCACAGGCAACGTTCTCTTAAGACAAAAAACTCTTGTGCCTTCTGTTGCAGAAATTATTGTTCTCTTCCCTCCCTGCCTTTGGTTATGATTTTTTTTGTGTGTGTATAATGAAGGACAGTGCACTTCTCAATCTTTTTCAGGAGGCATTTTTGGGCAGCAGTACCTACACTTTCTACCCATGGAGAATCCCATGGAGAATCCCAAGACTCTAGTTCTTTTTAAAGGCCCCTTACATGTCACTTGCAGTTGTAAAAGTGCCTGCCTGTGACACATATGGCAAGCCTACTGTAATCAGCTCTGAAATAAATATGCTCTTATTGATATGGACACGTGAACATGCAGAGTGGGTGCCATGTCCAGGTACACCCTGGTGAATCAGCAGGGTGCAGCCTGGAACACTGCAGCACATTCCTCTGCTCTAAAGTAGTTGTGCTCTGAGATTTTGGTCCCTAAACTGTTCTCTTTCATATACTGCAATAAGTTCTCTTGAATCACTTGGACCTTGTATGCCAAGGAGTATGGGCTTGTAAAAGATCTATTTTATGGAATAAATATGTCAATGCAAAGAATATTCCATTGCTAAAGTAATTTAAAGCAGAAACCCACCATCTGAGATAAAATCAGGGCAGTCTGGGGGGTTTTTTGAGTGAAGAGAGATAATGTAGTAACAATAGTCTAGATTGTGTCTTGCTACTTGTCTTAGTGCCTGCGTTAATAGTAGGACACTTGGGAGAGCCAAAGATAGAACAAAGTCATCCATAACAGTCCTAAGCCACACTGAAATATAACTTTCCTATCTCTTAATTACTAGATGCTTTAGAGAGAAAGGGCTTTTGTTTTTTAACTTACAAAAAAAAAAAAAAGGTGCAATATTTACAGAAATATAAAGAGATAAATGGCTGCAGGTTTGAATGCCCTGCAGGTTTGAATGCCCTGCAGGTTTGAA